TCAGTCTGACCCACAACCCCCACGACCCCCACTCCGTCAGCGCCCCTCAGTCTGACCCCCAGCCCCTACCACCCGAGCACCCCCCAGCTCTGCCCATGCACTTCAGTCTGACCCACAGCCCCTGTTCCTCTCCTAGTCTGGGCCGGTCCTGGAGTGGGACCGCTCTGAATGGGGCACCATTAGCACTCGACCACCCGCCTCTTCCCGTGGGACCCGGGCCTGGCGCGCCCGCGGGGGAAGGCGAACGCAGTCACGCAGCAGCCCCCGTCCGGCCCCGCTCACCTCATTGCGCTGATGCTCGAGGATCTTCACCTTCTTCTCACTGGCCCCCGCCGTGCCCTTGCCCGCTGCTTTCTCTGCCGGCGCCCCGCTCTGAAGACAGAGCAAACAAACCCTCAGGCAGCCGGGACAGACACCCCGCTCAGCCCGTGTCCCAGAGCTGCCTGCCCCAGCTGCCTCCGACACCCTAGTGCGCCTGCACAGAGCGTGGCTAGAGGGGGATTTCGATGTCGGAGTGGTGGGAATTGCTTTTCGGCCCCCGGGAGGCGTGGATCTGCACCCGGCGCCCCGCTCTGAAGACAGAGCAAACAAACCCTCAGGCAGCCGGGACAGACACCCCGCTCAGCCCGTGTCCCAGAGCTGCCTGCCCCAGCTGCCTCCGACACCCTAGTGCGCCTGCACAGAGCGTGGCTAGAGGGGGATTTCGATGTCGGAGTGGTGGGAATTGCTTTTCGGCCCCCGGGAGGCGTGGATCTGCACAGCGCCTCCGTCCTGCCCACCCCCCTTTGGGGATGCCACTTGCCTACAAAGGCAGGGGACGCTCAGCCCGTGTCCCAGAGCTGCCTGCCCCAGCTGCCTCCGACACCCTAGTGCGCCTGCACAGAGCGTGGCTAGAGGGGGATTTCGATGTCGGAGTGGTGGGAATTGCTTTTCGGCCCCCGGGAGGCGTGGATCTGCACAGCGCCTCCGTCCTGCCCACCCCCCTTTGGGGATGCCACTTGCCTACAAAGGCAGGGGACGCCTTCTAGCCCACAGGAGATCAGCCTTCAGCATATCCCCAGAGGGGAGAGAGGGGTCCCCACCCCAGCCCTGTGGCAAAGCTGGCAGTAAAGTACCAGCTGCCATGCCAAGACCACCCCTCCCCTTGCGGTGACGTGCTCCTTTCCAGCAGGTACCCAACCCTCGGCGGCAGGGGGGAGCCGGGCTGCGCCACTCTGGACTTCCCCGCTGCAGCAGGGTTTGCCGGGAGCTGGCGCTGACCCAGGGGCATGTAGCAAGGCTGCAGGGAGCATGGCAGAATCGCTCCCGGTTTGCATGCCCCTCCCTCCAAAACAAGCCTCTTGAAGACAGAGATATTTGCCCCTATTCCGAGCTTACGGCCTGTTTCCTCACCCCACAGCCCTCCTGCTACCGAGGGGTGACTCCTCTGCGCCCAAGCCCCAATTAGCCTGGGGGCAGAAGGGGGAGTGCGTGAAGTCTCTCACCACCAGGGGCATAGGTGCCCAGAGGGAATCTGGGGGCGGGGGTAAAGGCGCTGCCCCACCCCCAGACTAATCATGGTCTATGGGTGGGGAAGCAGGGAAGTATCCTGACCCCGCCCCTTCCGCTGGAGGCCCCGCCCCTCCTGGAGCAGCCACGGGCCACTTAAAAAACATCTGAAGTGGCCCCCTGGCAAAAAGTTCTTGCCCACCTCCGGGCTAAGGGATGTTTCGAAGGGAAGTGGGGGAGGGGGTTGCCAAGAGGGTTTCCAGACACCATCCAGAATCACACACCGCTCCGGGTCTTGGGCTCTATTCCAGGGGGACCAGGGTTCCGCTCCAGGGTGGCGAGGGCACCGTCCAGGGACAGCGCAGGGAAGAGGAGGCAGGAGGAAAAGGAAGAGTCGTGGCTACTCCTACCTGCTGCTGGCCGGCGCTCTCCACACCTTCCCCCTTCACGCCCGCCTTGCTGCTCATCACCATCTTCCGCAGCTCCAGGTTCTCGCACCTTCGCGGCGGGAAGAGCACAACAGACACGCAGACTGAGATTCGCACACAAACCGGCATTTCAAGAAGTTAAAAATCAGGACGGGACAGACCCCGAATCTCCCCGGTGCAGCCCCATGTGCTTTGCCCAACCAACACCCCTCCTGCTCTCACCTTAGTTTCTCCATAGCCTGGTTCCTCTGCTCCAAATCCTTCTCCAGCTTTGCCCGCAGGTCCTCGTTCTCATTGCGCAGCTGCTCACACAGCGTCTGCCAAAGGAACGCCAGTGGCTTTAGGCTCACGCTTCACACAGCCCCTTGATTACAGCCCCGTGGGCAGTCCAGCGACGGAACCCCTTGGTAGAACTCCAGGGTGGGGCTTCCCCACCCAGCACCCTGATGGCCGCAGGGGGCCCAGTGACTTGTTCTCTCCTCCTTTAACGCTACTGGAGGGGGGAAGCAAACAGGCACCGATCCGTTTGGCTCAGGGCTTGGGCCACTTCATACATTGTTCACAGGCAGAATGGGACCTCAGTGCTTCCAAGGGTGGTCCTAAGGCAGCCATCCCTGCTAGGGAACATAGGAACCGAACCAATGGCCCAGCTAATTCGCCAGCCATCTGTCGGTAGCATTAGCCACCAGTGCTTTGGAGAAAGAGGCAAGTCATTCTATGTCCAAGAATGAGCAGTTACACAAGGGTGTGGGTGTTTCTCTCTATATAAAACATAGGACTTTGGAAAGGAGTTGAGAAAAAGCCCAGAGCGAGTTTCCTACCCGTGCCCACAGGGGACAGACACCACAGGCCCCCCCGCTAGGAGTGGAACAGACGTCCCCTACCTGCAGAATGGACGTCCTCTGCTCGTTCTTGTGCACTTTGGAGGCCAGACGGTTAAACTCCAGGGCCATGCGCCCCAGGTGAGCCAAGACCTGGTTCTTGTCCGGCTCCTCAGCGAAGACGCTCAGGGTGCTCTCCAGCCGCTGTAGGTGCAGCATCAGGTTAGTGTCCTCGTTCTGCAGCTCCACCTCCTGGGAGGGAAATTGCAGTCGGTCAGAGAGGCCAGCCTGGCAGCCTCGCACCTGTGGAGCGTCTGGGCAGGGCAGGAGGCGGCCAGGCACTTGGGAAGTGCTGCACAGTTAAACCTCTCTTGGCCAGCTGCACCTGCCAGCAGCATCTGCCAGCAGGCCCCAGCTCGCCGCTGCCCGGAGCAGGTCCCTAGCAAAACGCTTGGTTAGAGGGGAGCCCAGGTAGCTTTGCAAGCACTTTGCAGCCCCCAGCAGGAAGCTGGCAGCCAAGCCTGGAAGCCTCTGAGAACGGGAGCTCATCCTGCCGCTGAGATGCTGAGCGGAGAATGAACGTGCGGCCAATTCACACCCCCTAAAGAGAACCTGAGCCTGGCACAGCGCAGGGTGTTCATGAGGGTGCGCCCCCGAGTCCTTCCTAGACCTGGCTCTCACGCCTCCCTCCACGCAGGATGCCGAGCCTCCAGCGCCCCCTACTGGCCCTTGTCTATAGACAACGGTGCCCTTCTTCAGCCCAAGGGACACCATGAAACCCAAATGGCTACCAGAGTTCTAGGATCTCCCGCTTCTCTCGATCGCCCTCCCCACACAGGCCATGCTGCCAAGCACCAGTCCCATCCTGCCCTCAATGGTCAGCTGGAGCCCAGAACCTCCAGACGCTCTGGCCTGAACCAGTCCGGCACTGGGTTTTCCTCATGGGGGGGGAGGATCTCCATTCCAGGACAGGTCCCCCCCAGGCCAGGAGACGTACTGTGGGTAGCATTGGGATCATGGAGGAACCTTGGAGGGTAGGAGAGCTCATGCAGATGACGCTGCGGTGGCAATCGAATGCCAGAATCCATTGAGACTACTGTGCCTGGAGTCACAGAATTATAACACACTAGAACTGGAAGGGGCCTCGAGAGGTCATCCAGTCCAGTCCCCTGTCCTCATGGCAGGACCGAGCACCGTCTAGACCAATCCCGACAATTGTCTGTCCAACCTGCCCTTCAATATCTCCAGAGATGGAAACTCCACAACCTCCCTAGGCAATTTATTCTAGTGCTTCACCACCCTGATAGGTAGGAAGTTTTTCCTAATGTCCAACCTGAACCTCCCTGGCTGCAGTTCAAGTCCATTGCTGCTTGTCCTCACTTCTTCTCCACTGCCCACCAGCTTGAAGGACTGGTAAGCAAACGGGCCCCTTTCCCTCCATCTCACTGGGAAGTGCCATGTCTGAGCTATGCAGGAACAAGTTCAGCTCATGCTACCTGGTGCCGCATGGGAGCCGGACCCCATGGATCCATCCCAGCCTCACCCAAACTTGTCTCCTCAGTTTCCTCTGTCCTTCAGCACCAGGCCTTTCGCCTCTGCAGCTCTCGGTATGCAGGCCGGTGTTCCCACAGCCCTCTCTGCTTCTCCAAGCTCAGCTGGAGTCGGCTCCTTCTCTTGCCTCTACCACGTCAGCCCTCTCTTCTGCTGGAGTCTGTCTCTGCCCCAGGAGGCCCAAGGCATGTGAGGATGCAGGTCCCTCGACAGTGGCTAGCTGAGATTGAACCGGGCTGTATTTAGCGTGGCTGGGCACACCTACCGGCGTGCGTCACCCCACACGCCCACTTACGCACATGTTGACAGAGCTCCCGGTTGCACTGTTCAGTGACTGAGCCCTGACTTGCCCTATGTTACTGTGCTTGTTTAACTGCCTGGTAGCCTAGGAGACCAAAGACACCTGCTGGAGTCACGACTCCCAAGAGGGTGGAGGCATCACCCGGTGGGCCGGCCCACCAAGAACGGCACCGCCGGCTCTTTCTGCGCCATGTCTCGTGAGCCTTTCACCTGCCCGCAGCCTGCCCCCGCTCCCCGGGCTGCCTGACTCACTCCCCAGCCTTTGCCCTTTTGCCCCGTGCCGCAGAGAAAACCCAGAGTTGCAAGAGTCAGTGTCCACCTCTCGTACGTGTCGCTGCTGACTCAGAAAGGGGAACGCGAACCTGCAACATCCCAAAGCACAAGCTGTCCCCAACCCCCCGGCTTTCCAGCCCCGTTTGCAATGCTGCGCAGAAGGGCACCTTGTCTGGGCACGCAGCACCTGGCTCGCACTCAGCTCGGGTGGCCTCAACATGCACCCAGCTGACAAGAGTCAGCTGCAGAATCATAGAAGATTGGGAGAGACCTCGGGAGTCAAGTCCAGCCCCCTGCCCGGAGCAGGGCCAAGCCCAACTCAATCAACCCAGCCAGGGCTTTAAAATCTCTAAGGATGGAGATTCCACCCCCGCCCTAGGGAACCCAGCCCAGGGCTTCCCCACCCTCCAGTAAAAGAGCTTTTCCTAATATCCATCCGAGACTTCCCCCCGCTGTGACCTTGGACTGCCATCTGTACAGCCCCCCCACCAAGGAGAAGAGCAAAGAGAAAACTGGCTAAGAGTAACGCCAAGCAGTAACGTTACTGGAGCACACTCCATTCCCAGCCTCTGCCAGCAGAGCTGCTATCGATAGGAGGGATGGTTTGAGTGTGTGGGGAGGGGAGGGGGTGTAGTCCCTGCCATTCCAGCCCCAACTAGACAAGGGAGTGACAACGCAACACACGTCTGACTTTGCATCACCCCGCCTCATGTGTCTGCTCTGCCACACACACACTCGCCAGCTCCTGGTTTCTCTCTCCGCACACAGGTGGGGCTGCTCTCAGAGTGGTCCCGGTGTGGTGTAAATCAGCTGAGCTGGCACCTCTCACCGGGCAAGCGGACGGAGCATCCACACCCAACACTGCACTATTGACTCCACGGCTCTCGAGAAAGGCGTGCGTGGGGCTGGGCCTCGTTCTCGGCCTCCTCGGGGAGCACAAACCCAGGGACCTGTCCCGGGGCAACAGCGTGTTTCTGGGACCAGGCGCTGTGTTGATCCAACAAGCCAGTCTCTCTACGCTCCTCTCCCCCAGGGGCTGTCTGGGCCCAGAGCAAAGCGAGCAGCAACGCGTCCCACCGCAGTGCCGGCACCGTGCCATCAGGAAGGGAAGGAGCCCCCCCGTGAGGCGTGCTCCCCGCCTACCCGCCGCAGGGCAAGGCCAGGCCACGGGGAACCAAACCACAGGCTGACACCCAGGGGCCGGGCAGAGGCAGGCAGTGGGCACTAGGGGGCGCATGCCTCCTTCCTCCGTGGCTCGGCTCCTCCTGGCTCAGTCTGAACCCGCCTGGATGCTGCTCAGCCTCCCTGGTTAACACAGCCTCCCCCCAAAGCAACAAAGCAGGACATGGGGGAGGGGGGCGGGGGAGGCGATGCTCTCCCTACACTGCAGATTTGTTCTAGGGCTCCGGAGAGGGGCGGGGGCGCCCCTGTCCGGGATACAGCCAAGCTTACTACGGGCAGGCTGAGCACGTGCGCCCCGATGGGCCGTAGCCAGGACCGGGTGGGTGCATGCTGAGCAGCCTGCTCACCATGCCCATTGAGCCTAGGGCGGTTCTTACAGGGGCTGTTAGTAGGTGATCAAGAGCAGCGTTCCCTGTAAGCGGAGCGCTTGCGTGGCCACCCCGGAAAGAGTCACACGCCGCCCAGCAGAGCACCCACAGCTAGGCTGTGTGTTTCTACTGGTGGTGCGCATTCACACGTGCCTTGGTGCACATCAAAATTATTCCGCACAGGGATGGAACCGATTAGAGGGGACATTATTCAAGAGGATCGTAAATAGGTCAGGGTGGGTGCTAAGATCCCATCGACTGTTCGTGGCCGTGGGGGATGAGTGGGTAAAATAACCCAGTGACTGCTGAGTTGCGCAGAGACCAAACGGGTTACGAAACGTGCGGCACCGGATTGCTCCAACGATTGCCTCACTCAGGACTTTACAGCCCCTTTCTTCAGCCCCGAGGCACTCAGTTTCCCAGGCCAACAGCCTGCCCTCCTGGCTGAATGCCCAGCTGCAGGGAGCGCACGGCGCCTGCCCAGAGGGAAGTCGCCAGCGCCAGCCTGTTTGTATAAGTGAGCGGGAAGGCCCTTCTGCAGCTGCTGCACGCTTTCCCCGTCTGAGCTTTCCAACCGTGTCCTGGGAAACGGGCCAAGGGAAGCAATCGTGCGGTAGGTCCCGTGTAGCTCACCACAGCTCTCGTGCATCAAGCCAGGGACCGAAATGGGGCGAGGCGATGGGGAAGTGGGGAGAGTTGGCCGGCTGCTCCTCTGGCCCTTGCTACTCACTTAGACAAGCCCCTGATCATACACCGCCTACCTGACCCCTGTTCCCATACAGAGAGCAAAGCCCGTCAGTGTGGGGGAAACCAGAACCACCTGTCTTGCTCCCTCTCACGAGGCCGGGTCACAGACATGCTGTGCCCCTGCTGTGGGCGATTAGAGTTAGCCCAAACGAGCTTCCACTCAGGGCACCGAGCTGGCAGGATAACTCACCGACTTCCTGCTCTCCTGGGAAAACCTCTTGTCCTCACTGGATACAATTTCGAACTCTGACGAGGACCCCTGCAAAGGGAGACAAGGGAGTCAGGCTGTCTCTGCATGAGGGCCTCTCTCACTGTGTTCCATCACGGCAAAGGGAGGGCAGAGATTAAGGGGGTAGCAAGGGAGAGATTTCCCCATTTCATCAGCTAGCGTAATGCCATTTGCACTGCAGGTTGAACCTCTCTCATCCAGCACCCTGGGGCCGAACCAGAGAATTTGCTGCACCAAGAGAGGTCTATAATGTCTAGCAGCATTAACAACACTCCCACTGCTTACTGGGCTCTGAGAAGACATGTAGAGGTAAATCAGAGCTCAACAACAGCACAGAACACTGAAAGCCAGGACTGGGGGCTGTAAACAAACTTTATGGGACTGTGAGAAACTTGGCCACACCCATGAAAAGTGGACATCCGGCTCGCTAAAATCATGCTGGACCACAGATGTTGCCGGACTGGAGAGGTTCAACGTGTCGTACAAAACGGGGATTGTTTGGGCCACACGCTCAGCTCTTGAAGCCGCTTTACGTGCTGTAAAGATGATCCTCCCAGTTTGGGGACTAGAATCCAGGGATAGGGGCTCCTAGGGTAGATGGGTTTCCGCACAGAAAGCAAGTCCTGTGTCCACAGGGGAGAGAGGTGGAATGGAACCTTCTGAAGGGCAAGCGAATGGGCATAGATAACTAGCCGGTACTACATTCCAATTCTGCCAAACCCAGCAGCTGTTGCAACTACAGGCTTGTCTAAAGACACAGACTCACAGTCCATCCTGTCACTGATGTGGGAGACAAGACAGCCCTTCCGGCAAGTCTGTTTCCTTAACCCTTAGTTGTTTTTTTTTAATTGCCTGCTAATTTCATGGCCTGGGCGGCTAAGGCAATTTCATCAGACTTACAGTGGACGGAGGCTTCTGAGCTTGGGTATCCTGCTGCTTCTCAGTTTTGCCTGGACCCGTGGGGGACTGGTTGGGCTCTGCATCACCTCCTGTAACAGGGAGAGGCCACAGCTGTGAGCGTTTCAGAGCCTGGCATGGCAAATGGGACAGCAGTGAAGAGGCAGAGACCAGACAGACAAAGAAGTCTAGAGGGAACAATGATCTCCAACATCTTGTAACATCAATAGGCTGCAGAAGCAGTCAGAGGGAGGACTTGTTCCCTCTGATCTAGCCTGCAGCCACAGAGCAACAGGAACAGCTTCCAGGCCAAGCACCATACTTTTACATCATTCTCCTTTCTCGTTACACTGGCCAGTGGCTGCTGTGTGAGTAAGAGGCCCAGGTACTGCCCTGCATGCCATGCAAATTCAGACCGTGTATTAACTCCCAGGCGTTTGCCTTTGGTCAGTCAGCTTTGCCAGGAAAGTTCCAGCTACTTTCCTGTTTGGATGCGTGTCACGGCTATTCTGAAAGAGGAGATTCAGGGCTCAGATGCTTTCTTTGCAGCCCATTAAGTCTCATCCGCTGGCCCCCAGGAGCAGACAACAACAACAGCCGTCACACACGCGTCGCCTTCAAGGCAGACATTGATGTACACAGTTTTGCAGGGGACAGAGCAGAATTACCCCGCCTCCCAAAACTGCAAGCCTCAGGCAGGTGCGGAACCTGCTCCCCAGCTCACACAACCCCACTGTCCTGATTTATCATGCGGGAGCAGGGTGGGTGAGAGAGCTCCAAAGTAAAACCACACCTACAAGGAATTCCAGAAAGATTCCTATTGGTTCTAACATCAGTTCAGCAGAATTTGTGGGAGTCCTGGTATAGGTAAGTCTCTGGCAGCTACAGCCATTTCAAACTGCTCCTTCCATTGCATTTGCTTTAAGCAGCTTCAGCTGAAATGGTTCTAGAAACAGACTTGCCTCCAGGAGGTTTCTCTACATGAGGGTACTTATTGGTTCTTCAAGGAAGGAAATTTTGGCCAACAAGAGCAAGCCCCACTCTTATTCAGCACACCAGGGAGGTCTGATGTCCACACAAATCAGACAGGACATCAGGTTTTCATGGCTTATCTGAATCATGCACGGATTACATCCGCATTCAACGGCCTGTCCTCAAAAGGGTGAAGCGCCAGGGTGAGTCTTGGCATTTCCAAACCGAAGCATAAACCAACATCAATCTATCCCCTTTGGCTAGGCTGAGCGTGGCTGTCCTCAAGAAGGCAGACTCGCTGCAGGCAGATCTCAATATACAAAGGGAAGGGTGCAGCCTTTTTGCACGCAGGACTCTCGGGTCTGCCAGCTGTCTGCATACTCCTTTTAAAATGCGCTGATCTCAAAAGGTCAAACGGTGTGCGCGCGCACGAGTGTTTTCTTTCATTTACTGTGCAAGAAACAGACTCCAAGGGAGTTAAATTCTGTAGAAGACAGGAGCAGAAAACGCCATTCTAAACCCCAGCCAAGTGTGAATCTGCGGGGGTGAGCGAGAAGGCTCTTCTGCAGCCTTCCCCTTCCGATCTTTCCAACCGTGTCCTGGGAAACGGGCCAAGGGAAGCAATCGTGCGGTAGGTCCCGTGTGTGCACCACAGCTCCCCTGCATCACGCCAGAGACTGAAATGGGGAGATGTAACAGGGAAGTGGGGAGAATTGGCTCGCTGCTTTTCTGGCCTTGCTACTCACCTAGACAAACTGGGAATCTGCCCTCCAGCCTTAGCTACTGCCCTGATCAGTCACCTACCCGGCCATTCCCATACCGAAAGAGCAAAGCCCGTCCATGTAGGGGAAACCAGAACAACCGGTCTTGCCCCCCGTCTCACAAGGTCGGCTGCGGACATGCTGTGCCCCTGCTGAGCATGACTGCCCTGACTCAGTGGCGAATAGCCATGCCCTCTTGCTGACTCTAGACTGGCAGGGTCTCCCTGGGGCAACCTCCCACCTTCGTACCTGTTATTTCAGCCAGTTTGTCAAAGGAGGAAGACCTCAGCATCTCATTGTCCTTCACGAGGTCCTCTACCTTCTGCCGCAGTTTCGACGCTTCCATCTGGGACTCTTCCAGCAGTTCTCCTGGTGTTTACAACCAACAGAGGAGTTGGCGTTTCCTGGTTGTTACACAGCACCGTCGCTGCCACACCCCCGAGGCCAGTTCCCCACACCAGCCTGCACCAATCCCCTCCTCCCCTTGCATTTCACAACCACCAGCGACAGAAGAAATGGAAATGTCCCGCATGGGCCTTCTTCCCCCAGCAATAATTCTGTCCACGCAAATAACCCCCCACTGGAAGGTCAGTTGTTGCTTCTTTGCCACAGAGGCACTCTAGCATGGAAACACCAACGACAGCACATTCTACAGGGCAGATTTTATATTTCATATGGGCTCCCCCGTTTTACACTCTGATCTTCAGCCAGAGACTCTCACCTCGGGCCAGGAGGGTCCTTTTTCGAGGGTCCTTTTTCCAAGGCCCTTCCTCTCCACTGGCTAGTACAAGGTTGAATCTTTTCACATGCTTAAACATCTTGTAAGGCATCTCAGAACGGTGCATTATGGTCCCTCTACTGTCTCGGAACTCTTCAGACTGGTATGCCTGCGCTACAGCGGCACAGCGATGGTCCCACTGCACTGTAGTCACTTCCTACGTCGATGGATGCTACAGCGGCATAGCACTGTAGTCACTTCCTACGTCGATGGAAGAACTCTTCCATCAGCTTAGCTGTGTCTACCCCAGAGGTTAGGTCGACCTAACCCCAGCATCCAGGAGGCGGGATTTTTCACAGCTCTAAGTGACGTAATTTCTTAAGTGCAGACCAGGCCTTAGACTGCATGATCTGGGGTCACATGGCCAAGAGATTCCCCTACATTGCACTGCAAGGGCCAGCAGAGAGACGGATACCGTGTCATCAGGCCTCACGCCAGCAAGAGGGGAAAAGCCGTCCAATGGAGGTGGAAAAGGTGGGAGTTTAAGGTGGCAGCCAAGTGAGTGCACGGCTTTCTTTAAAAGCTAGCAGGGCCAAGGATGCGAGAAGAGCATATTTCTCAATTCTCAGCCATGCATCAGCACCACTGCCACAGCGGCCCATTCAGTTAGCGCAGACCACAGGCCTTTCCGGAGGCTACCCACTCAGCAAGTGTCTCAGCCCATCTGCACCTCCTGGCGCACAAGCCAAGAGATCAGCTGCTGGCACGACAGGTTTTACAGAGAGCTCAGCAATGCCACCTTCATGCCAAGCTGGCGCCTGCTCCCAGTATGCACAGCTGTACCCCTCTCTGCAGAATAGCACCGTTCAGTCCTAGGAGTGGTTTCCCATGCAGGGAATCAGTCCTTGGGCCAAAGATCCCTCATTTTTTTCCATCCATGTGTGGAATAAATTTTGTTATATGCACATGTGCACCACCAGCAGAAACACATGCTGCCCCGGCTGTGAGCACTCTGCTAATCAACAGGGCAACTCCTGAATCCCTCCTGGGTGGCTGCTCAAGTGCTCAGCTCAGCTTACAGGGAACACTGCCTTGGGCATGTTCAGGAAAGGCGGAGAGGGACGACACACTGCATGTACAGACCCAGTTTCCTATGCCCTGGGGTAGCTAGGGCGCGTTGCAGAGCCAGCAAGCCCACGCTGGGGTGGGGAAAGAAAGAGGCATCTCCCTGCAGCACCCCTGCTAGCGGATGAAGCAGTAAGAGTACCGTGCTCTTTTGCAAGTGGCATCGTGGCTGCAAGGTCCATCAGCTGCCTCCCTCCCACCCCCCCAGGAAGGGAGAGGATAAAAGAAAACCCTCCAGCACCACAGCAATTACCTAGAGACTTTATCCCTTGCATCTTCTCCTTCAGCCGGGTGTTCTCCTCCACCAGCCGCTCAAAGGCTGCTGCTGCTTCTTCCTGCGTCCCACCACCAGGGTCGTAGATGCGGTAGGGTCCTTTCCCTTCCATGTCTGCAGCTTACTCATCTACCTTCCAACCAGCCATCCCTGAAAGGCAACAAATCAGACAGTCACCCTTCCTGACGTGACCCGCCCCCGGGGATGTGAGAATGGTCCTTGGGCACCTCACCCCCTTGCACAGGGCTCACCAGCCGCTGCCAGACACAGCAGCCAGAAGGGCTCACCACAGCGACATGTAAATGTCACAAGAGGTGGGTGGCTGGCTGCATGTGTGACAGTGGGTTAATGCACTCCCCCGGCCTCGCGGCAGGCTCACGTTTGAAGCCTACAACAACGAACGTGCTGCGAGGTCTGATTTAGCCACAAGACTGGGCACCAACTGGCAGCCCTTGCTCGTGGACAAAGCCTTTCTCACCACTTCCTTTCGCCCTCTGCCTAGCATGCACAAGTGAGCCACTTGTGTTCAAAGCAACCCGGCAGCATCACGGACACAGCAGCAGACTCTTCTCCTGTCCCCTATGATTTCTCACCCATTAACATCACACATGCTACAGCCAGCGGAGGGTGTCCGGAGAGAGGAGATCAAGTTAGGTCTTCTCCATTGCATTTACTCACATTACAAAATTCTGGTTATTCTGAACTGCAGTAAAGTGAAATACTCTTTTTTCAAGCTCGAGGAACTCCTTTGCAAGCTGCTACATGGCAGTCAAAGTTGCATTCAATTCTTCTCCAATTACTTCTCTATATAAGCAATGGCTGGAGTCACCACCGGGATGTTATGAAATTGCGAATGGGTGGAAGAGAATCAGCTACATGAGAATAAATGTATTATCACAAGTTTCACAATACAGCAGGGACACTGACAGAATTTTTTTTTAACCCCCATAACGCCAATTCGTCAAGACAAAATCTGTTCACAAAACCGGGGCTAGATTCCACAAATCTCCCTACTCAAAAAACTCAGAAAAGAGAAGTTTCCAGACAGTCTAAAACAATGGATGTTTTTACCATTTTCTAAGCAGAGTTTCTGATGCTTTAATCAAAATGGCTTTTTGTTTTGAAATTTCAGTACCTTTGCATCACAAAAAGGAGAGCCACTAAACACACAAAGAACAAAGATTTTTTGAGTGACCTGAGCCACATTTTTTTTTCCAGAATTTTCACTGGCAAGAAATGTCCGGGGAATTTTCTCAATATTTCTCAAATTTTTGCAGGACAGGAAAGCGCTAGTCCCATGGTGCCCAATCAGTTCTGAAGCAGTAGCCAACTAACCATGCTCAACCAGCCACATGTGGCTAGCGTGTTGAACACCACGGCTCTGGTCCATGCTCTGAAAATGTGGAGCCAAAGCTACAAGGGGGTACTTCCTAGTTGATATAACCTGTCTGTCAGAGGGATCAGGGACTTTCCAGATAAAACTGTCACCTGACAGGATCTGCTCCCAGAATAGCAACGAATTCACTGATTGTCTGAAGATAATTAACATGATCGAGCGAGGGACTTTTTCTCCAGAGCAAAGGTTCAAACTGCTAGTTAGAACGAACTGGGTCATCAAGAAGGCAAAGTTCTGCCCCGTCTCTTCTCTCAGTTGATTTATTTCACTATCAAGGACTGGATTCACCATTACGATACAACTGGGGTCCTGGGTTAGAGGCCCAGGCGAAGGTTTGCAGGTCTGATCCCTCGACCTCTCTGCTGACACCTTGGGAGCACTGCAAGTGAGTGATCTTACCACATCCACCTTGCAGAGACCTCCAGCGAGCAGCAATTAACATTGGGCAAATCCCACATTCATTTCCGCAACTGGCAGCGCTCAGGAAAGAGAAAGTATCAGTTCCCAGTCTATGGGGAACAAACGTTTAACAATGGCTCTTCAAGCTAGCAGGTCTCACACAATCCCACGGCTGGAGGCTGAAGCTAGACATATTCAGACAGGGAAGAAGGCATTTTTAACAGTGAGCAGGATTAACCCTGGGACAACTTACCAAGGGTTGGGGTGCATTCACCCACACTGACCATTTTAAAATCCAGACGGGATGGGATTGACAAAGCTCGCTTCCAGGAATTATACTGCGGAAGTTCTGGCCAAAGTTATACAGGGGGTCAGACTACTTCAGTGGTTTTCAAAATTTTTTTTTTTTCTCATGACCCAGTTGAAAATTGTTGATGCTGAGACCCAACATAATTTGACTAGTGGAGGCTCTGGGGTGGGGCTGAGGAGGAGCTTTGGGGTGCAGGAGGTGGTTCTGGCTTGGGGAGGAGGGGGTCAGGAGGGGGTTACCTTGAGCAGCTCCCGGTCAGCGGTGCAGCGGGGGGGCGAAGGCAGCTTCCTGCCTGTCCTGGCACCGCAGATCAGGCTGCCCCCAGAAGCAGCCGCAGCAGGTTCCCAGCCAATGGGAGTGTGGAGCTAGCGCTCAGGGCAGGGGCAGTGTGCGGAGCCCTGTGCACTCCCCCCCCCACCCCACCGAATAGCCGGGCCTGCTGCTGGCTACTTCTGGGGTGCAGCGCAGTCTGCGGTGCCAGGCCAGGCAGGGAGCTGCCTTAGCCCCCCCACTGCTCACCTGCTCCCCTGGCAGCCACGAGACCCAGGGCCCGACATTCCATGGCCCAGTGCTGGGTCGTGACCCCTAGCGTGAAAACCACTGGATTAGCTGATCACTAAGATTCCAGGACCAGAAAGAATCGACGAAACTATAAGGAGAGAGAGCAGTGATGGACAGAGACTGAGTGAGCCCTTGGGCCCGCTGAAACCCCAGAGCTCTTCCAATGGACCCCCGGCCCAGCCAGCAGCACCTTCTGCTGTTCCGTTCCTTGGCCTCTCTGGGCAGACTTTACTCATGCCCACGCCGAGGAGAGCTTTGGCTTGCAGGTAGCTTGCAGGAGACGCACAGACGCCCACAGCAAGGCACGCCGCCTAGATGTGATGCTTTCTGTGCCCTGAGGGAGTTGCAACATCACCGTCTCCAAAGGGGAGAGACAGGTGCACTCTGACCCGCCGAGACCTGTCGGCACTCAGTAAAATACCGATCCTCCCTCCCTAGGTCTGTTTTTCAGATTCCCCCCTCAGGGAGCAACCCGTATGGGGCTGGAGACATAGGCAAGGTGGCACGCCGCCTAGATGTGATGCTTTCTGTGCCCTGAGGGAGTTGCAACATCACCGTCTCCAAAGGGGAGAGACAGGTGCACTCTGACCCGCCGAGACCTGTCGGCACTCAGTAAAATACCGATCCTCCCTCCCTAGGTCTGTTTTTCAGATTCCCCCCTCAGGGAGCAACCCGTATGGGGCTGGAGACATAGGCAAGGTGGATTAACCTTCCCCTCCCTTGCTATCTCTATCCGAAAGAGGCAGCAAGGGAAGGGGAAAAAAGAGGGTGCTTCAAAACAGCAGCCTGGGCCAGCTGGAAGTCCCTAACTGGCCCGGGCTGTATGCGGCATTGCAAAGCAGCAGTGCTGAGTGGAGCCCGGGGTCAGCTGGAGACTCCCCCACTGACCCCGGGCTCCATGCGGCGCTGCCACTTTGAAACACCGTGGAGAGCATGGGTGTTGAATCCCCCACTGGCCCTATGCTCCCCGCAGCGCTTTTGCCTTTGAAGTGTAGCAACCGCCCTGGGACTGTTGCTCCACTTCAAAGGCGGAAGCGCCCTTATTGACTAATCAAATAGTCGATGCATACTGCATCCACTATTCAATGAGCCAATTAATTGAAATTTTACATCCTTATTCTGGAGTGGGTTGGAGTAACTGGCAGGAAGCTGACTGAACGCTGGAGCGGTTTAAGTACCTGCTGATCTCCCACAAAGGACGAGATGGGCAGCGCTCAGCACTGTCAGACGGAGCGCCCCATAGAAGAGATGCACCAAAAGCTAAAGAAACCCCTAAAAAGAATGCAAGCCAGCAGGAAGGGACTAGGGGCAGGCTGCCTTAGACACACTGGGGAAGTAGGACTGTCTCATAAGGACTGTCTGCTTTGTCATCCAACTCCTGGTCGCTCCGCCTCATGGGACAGGCCGATAGGAGGACAGGTAGGTTAATGCACAGGTCTCTCTGAACAGAACGAGCCACAGAGAACCATTGTCCAATAGCTGGCACACGGTTGGCTGGAAAGACTTGAGCTCCCTGCAGCCTCATACGGATGGCAGCCGTTGCCTGCCTGAAACAATCTCTGAGCCATCAACCTCGGTGAGCTCTGAAGCCTAAGGAAGGTGATTCCAATATCAATGTTGTTAAGTGTTTCCCCACCAATCAGCAGTGGGATTTAGGACCACCGCAGCTCATTGGGATACACACAATTGTAGGGTCCGATTCAAGGCTCTGTCACATTCACTCCCTCCCCAGGATACTACAGGGTGCACCTCTAAAATCCAGGATTCTCTGATCTGGCAACATCTGTGGTCTGGCATGACCTCGGATGTTCCAGGACCAGAGTCCTGTGCACTGCAGGAGTGTGGGGTGCCGGGAGCCAGTGCATGGCTCAGTTGGGCTGGGGAGGGACCAGGAGCTGGCATGTGGCTCAGCTGGGCTGTGGGAGGAGCCAGAAAATGGGGAAAGCAGCAGCAGAGGGGTCCTGAAATGACCTCTCCTGACCCGGAGAAATCCCTCATCCGGGACCAGTCAGGTCCGGAGGGTGCCGGACCAGGGAGGTCCAACCTGTACTGCTGTGCAAGACTCCACAGGTTCCTTTTTCAATCGAGGCCACTAGAAGTTTTGTTCACATTGAGTTGGAGCTGAAAAGACGTGGGCGGAGGAAGGGTTCAGGCGGTCCCAGTCTTTTCAACAAGGAACGACTCCTCCGGAGTCATGAGACTACCTGAGCGAGAGCACAACATCCTCCAGCGAGAGCTGGAGGGAGAGGACAGGGTCATGCAAAGCAGAGTGTGGTTTACCTGCCTACCAGCTCTGTTCTCAGCCTGCTGCAGTGGAGGGGGGGGGGGGGGGGAGAAAGAGGATACAGAGACCTTTTAACGGAGGGCTTTTATAATAACTCAGCACAAGGAGAAACGAGAAGACGAGAGTGGGTGGGGGAGAATTCAGATTAAAGATCAAGAATGTCACATGTCTAACTAGCCACATGGCAGCGTCTGGGAGAA